TGTTTATACCTAATGTTTTTTACTAACAGTGTTAATATTTCTAACACTCAAACATTTGTCTTGATAATTTCATCTCAGTGTACTGGTACAGTGTGTGTGATCACTTCGGTTGATGCATATATGCGCCCACGTCTTACATTGATTAAAACTAGTTTACTAGATAAATAACATATAGGTTGACATCATTGAAAATATTGTGTGGTGCAATATGTTGGAGATGTTTGAATTTCACCATAAATCTTTTACTATGCTAAGATTTTTGTCTTTTATCACTTTTTTAATATCCATATACTTGTAAACTATGTAAATGTCATAGTAACTTCTTCAATTCTGTAAGTTAACAATTCAATGCATTTTCTGTTTTACTCTTGAATGTATATAGATGATGCTTGTGTTGTACTATTGTTTGATATAATTATTAATTCGTATACGAGGTCATGTTATTGATTGTGTTTCCTTTTTTAGTTAGTTAGATTTTAAACTGAAGAGTCATTGTACTCCTACCTTTGAGTTAATATTTGTTTCTTGTGTATACCACTGTCAATAGAACTTAAACAAAGATGTAGTTTGAAATGTACATGGTCTTCCAAGGCTAGTACATATTCATATGAGCAATATCACTAGTTGTTACACTAGGTCGTACAAAAAACCATATGATTTGATCAGTATTATATTTCGAAAATATCCTAGCTAACTCGAAGCAAAGTGGGAGAGGTCCTGATTTTAATAAGTTACTTCCAGAGGTCTTTAAAGGTGGTAGTCTAGTTTTAACTGTTACATTGGTTGAGATATTAGCTAGTTTATGACAACTTTATATCATTACATCACCCATCATGATCACTGATTGTCCTTGTTCATAAGAAAGGATTGAATTATTTTTGTGATAACAACTGAGTTATAAGTCTAGCTAATATTGTAAGTTATAGGCTTTTATAATTATCTGATACTTAACTGTGTCTAGTCAATAACGAAATCAGGAGTGCCGTTTTGCTTTCAAAACAGAATTTCGACGTATAGATTAATACTCATTTTTCGTCAGTCTTAGAAATATAGGCATATTTATAGTTGTCTGATTTATCGTGAAAGTCTCATTAATGTTGGCAGATGGTAGGTAGGTAATTGACGAAATTTAATCATAGATAAAGAAAAGTCTCGTTTTGTTTTTATCATGTTTCAAAAGTATTTTAAAGTATTACCTACAAAAGCGGAAATCATATATAGTCTAATTTTTAGGTTAAATATAGAATTAACTAGTGTCTGAATGTTAGGTATATAATAATTTATAAAGAGTTTTGGTTCGGTAACGTTGATTACTTATAAATTAATCTAAATCCTTACAATGCTCACATCTTCTGGGATCACCAGGTAAGCGATAGTGAGGTTAGACGCAGGGTATTAGGGAATGATGGTAAATCAACTGATGAGGTTGTAAATCTTCATCGACTGAGATGGTTGGGCCACGTGTTACGTATGCCTGAACACCGATTACCACGACGCACAATGCTGACTAGTGTTGGGGATGGTGAGAAGGAAGTTTGGGGTGGCCAAACTAAAACGTGGCATCAGTGTTTGAAGCCACTAACTTCTAGTCTTAGCCATGTTGGTAGATGCAGACTATGGTCATTAATTTAGTAATTATTATCTTGAATCATCTAAAGAAAGTCTGATCATTCAATTTCGCTTATATACTTCACTGTTGATAATATTCTCACCACTTTAAGTTAGTTCATATTATGTGATATTCTTTTAAAATTCGCGATGTTCACTGATGTAGGAGAAGTAGGTTGTAGAAAAAGCTAGAACAGGTTCCGTGCGATTATTATGACGAATGGTCGGAGAAATCGGTTGATAGGGCTATGAGTCGGTTACAATTTCACGTACCCGGTGATCCCAGCAGATGCCAGCAATATTTCTAAGACATCTGTGGTCAGAAACTAGTAGCTGACGAGTGTCTTCTATTCTTAATGGCCATGTTTCGCTGCCGTAAATTAAAACAAAACGGACTGCCGCGCAGTATACTCGTCCTTTTATTGATAGACGGATATCTCGCCTTCACCATAGGTGACGTAAGTTGGCAAAAGCCAAACGAGCCTTTCGAATCCGTGCTGAGATTTTGTCAGACACCAACCCATTAGGGCTGATCAGACTTCCAAGATAAGTGAAGTTGTCAACGCGTTCGACTACTCCACTCCTTATCCTTAGTTCAAGTGTTGATGCAGACCAGTCCTGAAGCAACAACTTGCATTTCGAGGGAGAGAAGCGCATTCCAAACATTCTGGCATTGTTGCTTAGTGCTGCCAAAAGACTCTGCATTTTATCAGTGTCTTCACCAAACAGGACTATGCCATCTGTGTATTCTTAGTCGGTAAGTGGACCTCCTGGTAGGAGATCAATACCCGAGAATTCAGTGGACGGGAATGTTATTTCCATCTATGAAGTTAAACAAAAATGGAGAAAGTGGACGGCCTTGACGGACACCACTTGAGGTTGCAAAAGCAGATGACAGTTCGCCATAAGCTCTGACTCGACTGGTAGTGTTCGAGTAAAGAGCCTTCACAAGGTTTATGTACTTCTGAGGTACGCTTTTCAATGACAGACAGTGCCACAGAGTCTCACGGTCTACAGAGTCAAATGCTGCTTTTAAGTTAAGAAAGACCACCATTGTCGGACGCCGATAAGTATGCCTGTGTTCTAGAACCTGACGAATGGTGAATATGTGGTCGATGCAGCCACGACCAGGTCTGAATCCAGCTTGATTCTCTCGTGTATCCAGTTCACGAGTCTTAGTTAGGCGTCTGATAATTATCGAGGCTAGTATTTTAGATACTATGTTAGTTAAACTAATCCCTCTATGGTTGTCACAGGATGATTTTAACCCTCTCTTATATATTGGGACGATAATTGATTGTGACCAGTCAGATGTGATAACGTCCAACTCCTAGATCTTAGCTAAAATTATCTTCATATATTTATCGAAAAAAAAAAACTCATCAAATGAAGTGTACGTCTAAACATATCTGTTCCATATTTTGCCTAAATAATAAAATTGACCTACTTGTTAAGTAAGAAAAAAAAAGAAAATGAATTTCTAACACTGTGCATATTAGTCGATTCAAATATACAGAGAGAGAGAGAGCTTCATCAGAGAATAGAGAATTTGCCTTTTACAAATTAATAATTTAACTATTATAAAATAGTATCAATCTGATGATTAGATCATTATCAAATGATAATACTAACAAGTCTAAGCATGTTACTATCTGATGTTTATCAAAGATTATAATCAAATCTATTGTATTTATGTAGTTTTGTCATTATACAAGATACTTTGTTAATAAATCTCTATGTGTGTTCTTGTTTGTTTGTTTACTTGTTTTTTATAAATACAGTTAACTGACTAATTCTATTTTCATGTGTAATTGTATCATAATTATGATGATCAGTTTGAATGTGATCATCTATATGGATTGATTATATAATATTTTCTCTATTCAATAATGTCTTAATTGATGAATTATTTACATGGACATAAATCTTACTTAAAAGATGCCGGTTCGGTGGTCTAGTTGGTTAAGCGCCTGGCGCGAGACTGATAGGTCCATAGTTCGAGTCCCGAGGGGTGCGGGATCGTGAATGCGCACTGCTGAAGAGTCCCATACTAGGACGAGACGGCCGTCCAGTGCTTCCAGGTTCTCCATAATGGTCTAGCTTCAATGGACTCATGATTTCAACAAGTTAAAAGAACTATTTCAACTAAATATGGATGACATAAGAAATAAATCAAATTAACTTAAAAATATAACAAAGTCCAACAACTTCATTCTATAACTAATGCAAAGAGAATAAGAAGCCTACTATTACTACCAATATGCAAAATAAAATGTAACACGGTTCGATAAGTCAAATATAACAGAGAATTATCTTTAATTTTAATAGTTGAGATCATGAACCGATTGATGTTAGACTACCATTGAAAACCTGGAAGCACTGAATGACCGTTTCATCCTACTGTAGGACTCCTCAACAGTAAGCATCCATGATACCGTCTCGCGGGATTCGAACCCAGGACCTATGGGTCTCGCGTGCAAGCGCTTAACTACTAGATCACTGAACCGACATCCAACGGTGTTAATTTCTAACTTCAATTAGACCACGACATTGAGCGACACATCCACCATTGGTAGCATCGTGGATGCGCACTGCTGAGGAGTCCCACAATGGGACGAAACGGCTGTCCAGTGCTTCCAGATTTGCCATGGTGGTTTAACTTCAATTAACTCGTGATCTCAACTATTAAAATAACTATAATATCCCCCCTCCTGAAATCATCTTTAATCATAACAATTCAAAATGAAAACGATATTTAGTAAAGTTCATTTACATACTAAATGAATATGAAGTATTGAATACTTTCCAAACTTACCATCGGTTAACTTTATTGGTTTTTATTGTTTCAATACTCATTTTACCTTTATGAACTTATCTTTAATTAATTATTCATCTATTGTCTCATTTTATATCAATCATGACCTAATTGTACATAAATTTTCATTTCTTATTTACAATTAAAGCATGTGAACCTATTAGTTTTTTTGAGTTATAATGAATAGAAACAAATAAGTGAAATAAAAAGAGTGAGAGATACAGAGTGATTTAGTTATCTGTTATGATCATTATGATAGGAGAATCTAGGGGAACCAATAAATGTATGTAGAATTTAACGATCATTTGCTTATTGATAAAAAAAAAAATCGGTTAGATATTGACGTAATTTTAGTTGGATCTAAGATTAAACAATCCAACCGATCACACAAGAAAATACGGAATGAAAATGTTTGATTCATAATAGAGTATATGTAAGTTCTTTTGGTAGTAAATAATGTTTACATAATTACATTTTGTAAATGTACATAGTTTATTGTGTTTTATTTCTCTTTCCTTTCCACTGCCCACCGCCCATTTCACCATGAATACCAATCACACCGTCTTACTTTTTTCAGTTTGACAACGAATGATGAACGACTTGCAACGTACGATACTATGGTAAGTATAATTGTTTTTGCCTTTTTTTTCTCTGTCTACATTCGTTTAATTTATAAATAAAAAAAGAAATAGAGAGAATTTGTCTAAAAACACACTCATTAAAATACTGAGAAATTATATTATAGTCATTTCAACGGTTTCGTTCATACAGAATTATCGTAACTAATAGTGATCAAAGATTTTAGGTGAAGTGGTTCAAAATCTTTCTCTATGATGCAGATGTATTCACTCCTTGTCTTTCAACGGATCCGAAGTTTCCAAATTACCATACAATCTTTTTTATTTTGTCGACCCATATTTTTTTCTTGAATCTTGTCTTTGATGCTTAATCTGTCCTATTGTTACTAATACTGTTACTACTACTGCTCTTGGACAATTTTATCTCACTTAGGTTGAGTGTGACAACTCGAACCGGTGTAAATATGTGCCAGATTATACGTTATGTACGTTCGACTGACCCAACCAATACTTAAATTCAATTGTTTAATAATTGAAGTCACTTTGCTTTCAGTTAGTGGGTGGTTACTGGCTCGAGCCTCAGTCAGTAACAACGTGAAACCTCGTACGCACGTACATCAGTTCGAGTTGCCATACCACATTAGCACAGAGATGCAATTATCGATTCAAATCCCATAGTGGCTAAGGTAGTAAGAGTATAAGCAGTAATCGGAAAGACTAGGGTTTGATGATGTTATTCAAGGAGTACAATCCAGTGAAATAAATTTGGAAAGAGAAAAAAATGGGGACATGAAGAATTCAGAAGATTCAAATAGGGGAGAACACAAAGAGTGGATGTACCTGCGAGGTTCGAACCTCACTCCACGTGCTTCATCTGAGAAGCTTAAGATGAGAGTACTACTAGCTCTCTCTCTCACACAAAAAAGAACATGGTTCAAAACCGAGTACAGAGTACCTGTAGTCGGGAGATGAGTTGAATCATCCGAAAATTGGGTAATACGTATTCATACGAGTTCACTTAAATTTTCTTACTAAGCGTTTATGATGTATAGTTTCGGTTACGAAATATACGTATGTATGTATATTGAATGTCGAGTGTTATAAACTGTAAACAAACTGCGTTGTGGTTGAACAACTAATAATCCCATGGAATGATGACATCACTCAGTTGGGTGCCTAGCCTAGCCTTCTTCCAACCTACTACGATATACCCACGTTAATATACACCTTGATTGACCAAGTGTAAAACATACCCCTAACTACCTTGGTCGATAAAGTCTCATGCTCTCACCAAGCAACCTCATCGTCATTAACCAGTTCCCTGCATGACAAGTCTTACCAATAAAAAAATCCTAGTTATTTTGAATTATAATCTATCTGTAACAATCAAAAATTGTCATAAATCCAAACAATGTATCAGATCATAAAAACATAAAACATAAGCAATATCCACTTAGTCCAGGGCGATATCATTGCAGTTTCCAGTTGACAACCGTATACAGAGAGATCAAGTTGAAAGCATAACTTTTCAATCGTTTGTTCGAACGTAAAGAATTCGACAGGTTCTTTGTCACTTATAAGTAAAAATAAAATCTGTATCTGTCTTTTCTTCTAATATACTTTCTTTGACAAATTCATATGTATTTATAGTGATAATTGGTAGTAATTTAATATTTGTGTACTTAGTCATTTTTCATTGAGAAATGACATGAGTTGTTTTATTCAAACGGACATGTTTAACCGGTCAATTAAGGTTGTACTCAGTCAACTTGTTTTATCATTCAAAATATATTTTAAAGGTAACTGAATTTATACTGTATATTTTGCCTTTCAAATCGAAATAATTATTCATCACGATGTGTGTTGTTTTACATAAGCTGTTAACAAATATTTCGGATATAGTCTGGTATACAATTTGAATGGAAGTTTAATTTTTTATATTCTACTTTATTTCTGTAAAATGTAGTTTACTAGTATTTGGTCACAGATGCTTTCTAGGTGTTTCTCCTGTGCGTTGAGACCATCGAGTGAGTTATTCTGTGGTTGAGCATAGAGTACTAGGCAAAGATGAGAAAACCGGTTGATAAAATTATGTCTTCATCTACTTCACTAGTTGGGGTATGTGCTACGTTTCTTTTGTAGAATCAGTAGATTTCTGATTGGCAGCTGAATTCATGACGCATTTCATCCTATTTGAACTTGTCTTCTGCATTTACTAGTGCTGATGTTCACGCGGGGACTCGAACCTAGTGCTTTTCATTTCAGATGCCTAAAGCATTATCCAATGAGCTACTCAGCCCAAGTAGCCACTCACTTGTGCAACGGTTAAGATATTTGTATCATTATTAGAAAATAGTTGAATTATACCGTAGTTACATGTGCCCAACCTACACCTATCTCAGTGTTAGTTTATTTATTTTATTTCATTTATTTAAACACATAAACATTGGTACAAGGAGGCACCAAATACATATGCACCACATAAATCATTCGATTTGTGTGAGGGCTGTGATACTGCCCCGGGCGCCCAGATCGAAGCAGGTGGTTTACTTAGAGGACCACACTCCGAGCCTTGGACCTAAAGGTCTGACCCACAAGGCAATGGAGCATCGTGAGGAGATGCAGTCCCATGGTAGCCAGTGACCAACGATTGGTTCATACGCCATTTGTTCCTTTAGGATACTGGAGCCCATGTGCATCATTGGTTTGGAATCCGGTTAAAGCGCCGGACGTTCGCTTTTCGTCCTCTCAATTTGGTAAACAACACCTCCGTCACGGTGTTGTTGGTTGATGTGGTAGTAAGCTATGAAAAATTTGGGGACGGCTAAACTCGAACGTGCTATCACTTCATGAAGTCATTGACTGTTGAACTGAACTATATTGGTAGATTCAGACTACCATGTTAATATATGTGCGATTCTAGTAACTGTTTGTCGAAAACGTCGGTGAACATACTTTAGAACCGGTCTCCTCAGCTCAGATGCATTCACTCTTTATCCTTATTCGGATATGAAGTATGAAAATTATCCTACACATTCTACTTTGTAAATTCATTCGCTTTTCTCGAGTTTTATTGTCTATACCTGCTGTCTTATATACTACCATTAATACTTCATCATGGTAATTCAATATCGATGCAGTAATGTAGTGTAACAACCTGAGCAGATGCACATATGTACCTGATTCTGCGTTGCTTATGTCTAACTGACTAAAACATAAAAGGCGATATCATTAAATAAAAATATATATTGTACTCAAACGTCCAACTGATCCTACGACAATGTACTAAGTATGTGATGAATGTTAATTAGTTTTTAATAGCGTCAACCAATGACAAAGTTAATTGAGATGAGTATATATATCTTTGCATGAAAGCTATATACGGAACTCAGTGAATCTACTAACCACAATGGCACAACCTGCCTTATCCATATAGTCTTATAGTCTTAAAATAATAACAAATTGGGTTGTGTAGTTTATGAGAGACAGAAAGGACATAATATTGTGTGTATAGATAGAACGTGTAGTGTTATTGCTACAAACACCTCAGGTTCTTGAAATCTAAGTTATTGATTTGGTTATTATTATCTATATTGATCATTCTCTGTTGAATTTGAGGCGATGTGATTTCTATTTCCAGTCAGTTTAAACTAAATTACAATTTGACTTGTGTACATTGTACATTGTATGACTAATCATATAGTGTTTTTCGCCTATTTAACTCTCAGACAATAATACTTACATTGTACTGTTCATCAATACCAATCTGTTTGATTATTTCCAAGTGATTAGCTAGCTAAACACAATTTATATATATATATTGGTTCCGTCAATTAAACACTTCGTAGTATCATTATTGTTGTTGTCGTCGAAAAAAGCACACACCTACTACTTAGTTGGTACCTTTTTATATTGTCTAAAGGGAACGTTTTAATTTTAAAGTTTTGTAAAATCATCACTAATGAATCATTCATCAATTTATTTACAACTCTATATATTTTGAAATATAAAGTGTGTGTGTGTGTACCCAGAAAAACTGATATTTCACGTTATTCTTGTTACTTTCGTCGTCATCGCTGTCGAGGTGATGGTGATGATGTATTAATTCATGGAAAATGCTCAAGATTGCGAATGTGTCCGCTGATACATATATATCTTTCGGATTCTTCACTGATCTAAATTGACCCCTGTTTGTTGATAATATTCGTAGTAATTGTGTGTGATCAAAATTAACAACACATTGGAGTTTATGGAGATTATTGGATTTTATAGTCAACATCAATGACTGATTCTGGTTAAACAACTGTATAAAATCAGGAAGTAATAGACAGTTATTTCGTTTCGACATGGGACTCCTCAGAAGTGCATACACCGATGATCCGACCGCGAGACTGAAGGTCTTGTGTCCGATCCCCATTTCGATTGAGGATACATATTGTTGAGAAGTCTCATGCAATAACAGAAAAACTGTGTAAAGCTTTTTGATTTTCAGTGTTTGCTTAACTTAGGTCAGTCCTTGATGTAAACCAAAGGAAAGCTACTTATTCATTTCCAGCTGCGTTAACATATTAACGAAGATACTCGACTCAATTACTATTATTATTTTCAGGTTCAAATCTTGTCCCAATTACTTTATCTTGATAAGATAATAGGTTTTCACGACATTCCTCACACATACATATTGTGATTCCAATCTGATTGGATTCACCTCTTGACAAATGAATGGCTATGAATAGTTAGTGAACAAACTTAAAAAATTTTGACGTCTTTTTCTCATTCAAAAAATATTTAAATAAATTTAATCAGCAGTTACGTGGGTATGATTCATAATAAGTATGAGGACTAATAACACTGTAAGATTTAATTTGTCTTATAGATATTCTCTCGGAACTGTAAATGCGATTGTGACGATCCAGAGTCTAAGTAAAAGCTATGGTCAGAATAAGGACTCTGGGTCTCCAAATGCCCTGGTACGGCCGAGAGTAGGGAGAGTCAGCTCTCCCTCTCCAAATGCTCTCACATTGCCACGCGTCTATAGCCTCTGCCAGAGAAGTCCTACTCACTGCCTTCTCGTGGTGGGGGTGTTGTTTACGAAATTGAGAGGAAGTAAATCGAATATCCGGCGCTCTAACTGGGTTGGTGGATACTGAGAGTCTACATAGGGGAGTTGGAATACCCTGATTCCAAATTAATGGTGCACATGGGCTCCAATATCCTGAGGAAACAAATGGCGTACGAACTAATCGTTGGTCACCGGCTACCATAGGACTGCATCTCCTTACGATGCTTCGCTGTCTTGTGGATCAGACCTTTAAGTCAAATATTCGGGAAGTGGCCCCCTAAGGAAACCACCTGCTTCGGTTTGCGTGCCCGGAAAGTATCTCACCCCTCACACAAATCGAATGGTTTGCGTGGCGCATATGTATCTGATGCTCTGTTGTACCAATATTTATGTGTTCAAACAAATAAGTAAAATAAATGTCATCAGTATTGCGTTTACAGTTCCGGTAGAATATCTGTAGGCCGAATTAAATCCTACGAAGTTTTGACCAGTATTGCATGTCTAATCGAAATAAATAATAAATTATGAGTTTCTCTCACAATAATATGATATGATAATAATGTCTTTTAATTGGCAGGTCACCCGCAATAGGGATAGGCTACAGACACATGAGACCAGGTTGACGTGGTGAATGTTTAAGCAGAGATTTGATTCGTTAGTTATGGGCGTAGCTAACATACACTACTACCTGGATCAAAGTACGTGGCCCGCTTGTGTTCGAACGTGGAACTTAATGATCGGAAGTTGAACATTCTAACCATCAAGCCTTAATGGTTTTCAAGAAATGATTTTTCATTCATCAACTTAAATGACATTCACTATTAATTAAGCTAAATTGTCTTATACGTGTATCGATACTAAAACTATTGAATGAAATCCAACTTCACATTAGGACACCATGAAGTTGGTGGATATTTTCCTATTCACAAGAGATTGTGTTTATTCTTTGTAGGTGGTTGATTGGATTGCTGTCATAAGTTGACAAAAGCTGTTAGATCATTTAATCCTAGATTACATTTGATAGATATATTTTATTTTATAATGTCCAACCTTTCACAAAGTGTTACGTCTGTCATTGTCATATTTAGATCGTTGATTCAAATTCCAGTTAGTCCAGACTACAATCACTTGTGTTGGTTACGAAACATAACTTCCATTAATGTTGTTCTCGACTAGTGTAGAATGGTGTGACATTATAATATCTAGAAAGTGTCATTAGTTAATTATAACATAATGACATTGATTGATTACCACATTTTTGGTGGTACAAGTGAAATAGTCCTCTACTAATATAATCAAATAAAGCATTGTTTACAAGTCAGTTAAATTCATGATAAGTTTTTTACATTTTGTCCATAATTCTACCGTTGGTATTTCTTTTCTCTTATTATTTGTGTATATGTTACTCTTACTACTGAATCGTTTATTTGTAGAGCTTTCATTGTCTGGTTTGGTTTACAAAAGTTTTACAATTAAACTTTCTAGGTCAGAGCAGAGAATATAACATCTCTAAAATTCTCTTCTTTATAATCTAAGAATGTTTATTATTCTAAGGTGACAATATGGTTTTTATTTTCATACTAATTTCAAATAACTCACAATAAAACTAATTGTGATAAAATAGTGGCCGGTCGATATTTTCTGTTTCACACACAAATGATTGTTTAAATTTCACTGGGTAAAATAAAAATAAGCAAATGCTTGTTACCATACAGCGTGTACACATGTCTAAATGTGCAACTACTTAAAAACAAAATAAGTAGACTAATAATATTAGCAAAAAAGTGTAGAAGGTTGAAAACGTATCAATTGATTTTGCGAAACACATCATCGAATTGATGTTTGTCGACAATCCACAGTGAATTTCCGATAAGAAATGATAATCAGAAACGCTATAAGATAAACCTATCCAAACAAATATATCGAGTATTTTACCAAGTAATTTGTTCTCATGTTCCACCACCTATTTCCTACAGGATTCGAAAATTTGGGTCACTAACTCTACAGTTTCAGTACTCATATGTAGAAAATAGTTTTATCCACACACACTCATCTATCTAATACTACGTACTCATGAGAGATGAATGATTTTCCTCAAGTTTCGAAATAATTTGTTCAAATATGAAATTACTTATTCACATTATTTACAAGCAATTCATCTGTCTTCGTATCATTTGGTTAATAATTATTTCTCAGAATTTATCGCTAACTCATTGAAGGTGAAATAATACTGCTAGATGCTGAATCAATGATTTTGATAGCTAAGTGTTCGCCTGTATTTTATTCCTGGTAAAGTCATTGGTGCACACTGATTACGAGTCTCATGGTGGGGCGAAGCAGCTGTCTAGTACTCCCTCGTTTTCAGTGGTACCCAAAGTTATATCAATCTGTGAAGAATGTAACCTACACATAAGTAATTGATCATTTTGGTCTGCAGTAATTTCTGGAAGTTTTAAACCATTCTGTGAGTGTTCAACATCGGTTATTGGTTGATTTTCCCCATTATTATTATTAAAACGCTACATTATTAGTTCTTTTTGAAGAGAAGATTAATTATGTAGTTGTATATGAAGGGGAAATAGAGCTATATCATTCACTACCGGTTACACATTGCATCCAAATTTTATTCTTTTTGGAAAAAATCGTTCTTGATTGATTCTAAAAGCATCCATTTCACTTGTTGTTTGTATGAACATTGTTTATTGTTATTTTTCTTTGATATACATTTCTCTCTAATCAATTTTTGTTTTCCTCTTTATATTCCATAAATCATTCCTTCGAATTAAATTATAGGCTTCTAAAATTAAATCATTAACCATTTTGAAAAATGCCGATCTTACTGCAATACATAATTGGGTAAAGAATCAATGCAATAGTTTAGTACGTGAAATCACATTTAGTAATGCAGAAGAAATCACTGAAGAACGTTTACCATTAATGTTATTATTTTATAATCCAGATAATAAAACAATTGTTAGTCGTTTCATGGAATTTGTCAATTCACATTTAAGTCATCATCAATGTAAGTTTTGCGAATTTGTTTGTTTATTTGTTTTAGTAGAGTTAGTCCATGATTATCATTATCATCATCATCATTATCTTTGTTATTGTTGTCAATTGTCTTGATTGATTTATTTATAATGTGCATCATTCATTGTTTTCAATACATTCTGTATGTTCCTGGTTTAGTACCATAGAGTACTACTACTGTAGTGAACAGAACACGGGGTGGAGACAATCGAATGTATTTAGCACAAAATTACAGAGTTACTTGGTAAAATAGAAAAACCAAATAGTAAATCGTTAATTTGTAAAATATCATTCCATCATATCAAACCGGACTGTTACTGTTGCAATCATCAATCCATTGTCTCACATTTCATGGTTCATGCATTTTCTTACAAATTGCATTGTGTTCCCGCTCTTTCTTTGTTGATCTTTCCCCATCTTCTGCTGCCAGACATTACGTTCTTTAAGTCGTGTCATATACTACTTATATCAATATAAGTAGCACATACCACACTACTACTACTACTAAACTGTACAAGTAAAGTAATTTATGAAACCCAACAAAAAAATACACATTAGTTCTTATACTTTTCAAAAGATCTCTCTTATGTATGTATGTATGTATGTATGTATGTATGTATGTATGTATGTATGTATGTATGTATGTATGTATGTATGTGTTTATGTTCATTGTTGTTAGGCTTTTTATTATATATTATTTTTGTGATATTGACAAATAATAAGTGTGAATTATGTATGGTTAATTTTATGTCTAGTTGTATATTGAACATGTAACAACTATAGTTACACATTGATTTCAAGCTTGGACAATCTATAAATCTTAGATTCTTGAATAAAATTAATTTCATACAAAAAACAGAAGGAAAAAAAAAGAAATGGAAACATGAATTATGTTAAGAAGTGTGATTGTGGATGTGTATTTCATTCTATTTTAGGGCTGGTCAGATAGATGTACTAACATTTTGGTGTTGATATTCACATGTTCCCGGCTTTGAACCTCAAAACATAGAAAAAACACGCGTCCTTAAATTATTTATTTAAACACACAAATATTGGTACAACGGGGCACCGAATACATATGTGCCGCATAAGTCACTTGATTTGTATATGGGCTGTGATACTGCTCGGATGCCCAGACAGAAGCACGTGGTTTTCTTAAGGGGCCACACCCGGAGCCTTTGACCTAAAGTTTTGATCCACAAGACAGTGAAGCAATGTCAGGAGATGCAGTCCCATGGTAACCAGTTGCCAACGTTTGGTTCATACGCCCTTTTTTCCATTAGGATATTGGAGCCTATGTGCACCATTGGGTTGAAATCAGTGTTTTCCATCTCTAGGCAAATCATCCGTGTCCACTAACCCGGTTAAAGCACCGGACATTCGTTTTTGGTCTTCTCAATTGCGTATACAACACCGGTGATGTGAGAAGGCAGTGAGTAGGATTTCCCTGTCAGTGGTTGTATGCACGTGGCCATGTGAGAGCGTTTGGGGCTTGATATAATCCGTCTATTTTATAGCAAATTGCAATAAAATGACTATCGAGGCAGTTTGCACTGGATGCACTTATACCACAGTTAGCTTCCTGTTTCGATCACCTTATTTTTGTCATTAGCTCTTGTAGAAAAGTTAGCAAAGTATATCTCAGAGCCGGATATATAATCATTTCAGTCTGTTATAAGCAACATAGAGCCTGAGTCATATGTATATCGGTTTAAGTTGTCACCTCATATCATCACAGTGAAGAGGAATTATTAGGACTAATCCTGGGGTAATGGAAATGTTAAAAGTATCAGTTGCAGTATGAAAGAATAAACGGAGAACATAGCTGAAGAAAAATATTGATTTTCCGGAGTTAACAAGGAAAGAATGTATACGCTGATTTTTACACTCAGGATCTTCCGAAAGAACGATTATTTTGATTCATGTTGCCCAACGCCTCTATCCACTGGAGATGATAGTCTCACAGACCTCAACCTGGAAGTCTGCATCTACAAACATACATCAATTTAACAGTCATTAACTTCACGAACTGATCTCACGTTTCGGTTTAACCACCCCTATTTTTCTTCTAACATTCTCTTACATCAGCCAATGCCTCTCGTCAAAGCAGGCAATAGTTAAACATTCGTAATACATCTCTCAACCAAGTCGATGAAAATCCACTACCATCTCATAAACCGACTTCTCACCTTCATCTTGTAAACTACGCGTCTAATCTCTATAGTGCCACCACGTGTTGGTATAGCTTCAATGGGGAGCTTGACTAGATGCTAGGAACCTATAATTACCAACTACTTCCTAACTGCACGCTTCATAAATATGTACATTTAATGTTCACGTTAACGCCATTCAAAATTTTAAATAGTTTCAAGACATTTAAATGAACATGTCTTGCTTGATTGAACAATAATAATAATGTTAATTCACCTTATATTGTTTATCTTTTGTTGTAATTACATCCTATTTTTTCCCATTCATTAACGTTCAATCCTTTTGATCTCCGTACCCCCTTCACCGTCATCATAATCCAGCCACAATCAATTTTGTAACAGCGAACGGAATCACCTTTTCACATCCATTAGCTCATCTAGGCAAATCTAAAGAAGATCTACCGTTTATCTGTTTAGATTCATTTGCACATATGTATGTATATCCTGGGTCAGTAGAGATGGCATTAAGGTTAGTTGAATACTCTGTTATTCTGTTATTTAATTGTGTTTATATGCTGTCATTGTTATATGATTTATTTAGATAACTTGTTTAGTTACGTAATGATCAATACATCCTGAACTCTCTCCAGTCCTATCAAACCTTAGCTTTAATAATTAACTAGAATTGTAAACACTATGTTGAAGAATGGAATTTTGTCAGTTGATTATTGTGACTATATGTTCGTTGTTGTTTAGTTGTATGTTTTTGATCTTGATGGAACACAAAATAGTGGTAAAGCAACATAACATTTTATCGCTCATATCAATCCACACTGACAAACACAGGCATGAATTCAATTTCAAAAATATCAGCTCTAGATGGATAATTTCTGGAAGAATAATATTCAGGCAAACCTGCAATTAATGGTATATATGTATGGACGCTTTTTACCAATCTATTCAGAGAAAGTAAACCAATCTGTGTTACTCAGTCAGACTGACGTCGTCAGATGTTAACAGAACAAGACAGTCACTAGAAATAGAAAGACAAAGAAATTTGATGAAATTTCAGAAAACAATCATTCATAGATGGAGTCATGGGCATGAGCTAATTTAACGCGCTTATAGATTAAGTAAACAGCCCACTTCTAAATGAATTAAATATTAATGATTTTGTTCAGAATAACAGTAGAAGTTTCTCAATTAAACTATGCAACTAAAAGATCACAACATAATCAAGAACATTCACATGAGCTAGAAATCTTTGTCATTTAAATGCTTGTAAATAATTCTGGTCCACTTCAAATATTTTCAAAAATAATCTCATTTAAATTAGATGTAGACTATTTGGTTGGGGTCCGCCCGATTATCATAACTAATGGTTGGAGACTATAGGTGAATCAGCTAGGAAACGTTCGCAACAGCTCAGGTGTATACAGTCTCTTCCGAATGATCCAGAGTTTCTGAATTACGTTTTGAAATTTTTTCGTTCCACTAATCTATATTTCCTTCCCGAGTCGATGCTTAATCTTTTCTATTATGTTTAATATTGTTACTATTTTTACTGTTCTGAGTTATGAATATGAGATACTGTGACAATTTCATCTCATTGTACGAACAAGTTTTGGCACCTTGAACTGATGCATATGTTTGACAGGTTCTGTGTTGCGTTTTACTAACTGATGTTGCTACAATATACAATGACCATGCATATGTGTGTATGTCCTTCTTCCCTAATTTTTCCCTTTATATTTCTTTCGTTTGCTCCTTATCTGTTTTTTTTTTGGTTTTTTCTAGTGATCCAAAACACTTGGATCAGTTTGTTGAAGATCTAAAATCTGGCAAACTACACATGGAATATCATTATGGTTCAGGCAGTGAAACAACGACTACATCTCCAAAAACCGAGGATGACGAATCAGTCAAAGTAGGTGATCCAACAATTAATTTATCTATGCCTTGTAATACTACTCAAATGATTTTATCAGTAGGTAACTTATACATAATCTATGATTGGAGCATTATATTGTTTCTTAATGATAAATAATTACATCATGTAAATGCAACGGTGCTACATCGTTCACTAGTCTCTACTGGTTTATTCATTCTATATTTCTATAATTAACTCAAATATTTTATTACAGCTCACTATGTTCTACATAGTAGCTGGTAACGTGAATTTACTGAAATGTTTAATACAACTCAGTTACTACATGGAGTGACTCATCAGTCTTATACTTATCTATCCAATCCTACTTCACTGTAGTACATGTGGTGTTGGACTGATTTTATTTTAACTGCAAGAGCACTCACCTGTTGTTGACGATCGGTTTGTACACTAGTTATTCACATACTCGTCGTAATTCTATTTCGAATGTTGAACATTAACTCGAGTTGTTATACAAAGCATAAAATACTATAGACCTCTTGAATGAATTTATAATTAACTTGATCAGTACTCTTTTACAGGGTTAGTAAATGAGATCTGTTTCAACTAATGAGTTTCATTTGTCAATAATTCTACTTTCAAACAATCGGTGAGCAATGCGTAGTATTTAAGAAATAAAACAACGTGGCTTGTTCCCAAATACTTACTAATTTATCATCATGACGTCATGTATTTACATGAATTTATTTCTTAAAAGATAAAAACTCTATTAGATACAACTTACAAACGAGAGGCAAATGAAAAAATCCTTACTGTTCTATTAGACTGGTCAAATATTTTATTTGTCATTACTTCAATGATTAATCAGTCAGTATATTCAAATCTTTGTATGACTTGAATTCCGACTACTTTAAACTGTTGACCATAAGTTACCATTCTATTAACAGTTCTTCTATGCATATACACATATTCAGAAGTAACTGTAAACTCAATTTAATCACGTAAAACCTATTCAAACACTGTATAACGAGCTCCATTGGTCAAACAAGTTACTTTTTTATCTTAATATTTTTAACTACTTTTTTCATTTAAGTAGTATTAAATCATTGTAAAAAGAAATCTTATTAACCAAAACATTTCGTTTTTTTTTAATTGTAGACTACACCACATGTTTCTGTATTCCAACATTTAAGTCCATCAAGAATGCGATATACAATTATACATGATGAATTCTAACAAAATACAAACATATATATATATATAGTCTGGCATCCTGTAATTTTGTTCATATAACACATTCTTTTTTTGAATACATTAAACCTATAGAATTGGGAAAAGGAACATGATTGATGTTTTGTGCTCTGTTCTCACTATTTCCCTCTTTCTACACATACGTTATTTTCTGTAGGATCAATTCTATATTTTCTTTACTTACAAAGGTTTGTATGTGTATAATGTCATTGCATGTGTACATGGTGTGTACACAGGAATGTTATCCTCTTATTCTCTTGTTCTTCTCACTATCCTTCTTCTCTTAGTAAGTGCGATTACTTTGAATTAAACAATCACTATTCTGTTTGTTTGATTTTCTTCTCTTAAGAGTCATTTTGTTGTTGTACATTTTTTTCTAATCAAAAAAAAAAACTAATTGAATAAATAAATCATGATTCGAATAGACGACAATATGACTGTAAATCTGTTGAAAGAGAGAGAACGTTCTTCTAAGAGTTGTTTGTCAATGCTCAGTTTAAATCTACTTTTCTTTCTCCTTCACTTCTTTTCTAAATCTCTTGTTATACTTTCAAACTGTGTTACTTTGGAGTAGTGAAGTATTTTGTTCATTGATTTGACTAGTTCACTCACTATGTGCTGTACTGTTTTATTGAAGAAAAAAAAATTTATTTTGTAATTATATCATTTCTTTTCTAATTATTATTGTTATTGTCTTTCATAGTTTCGTTTTTTCTTATCACTGCTAATATTATAATTGTTATGGATGACTATGTGTATGTGTGTCTGTGTGTGTTGTACATTGAAATAGTTCACCTCTTTAGGTGTATAATGGTATGATGTAATAACTCTATCATAAACTGTAGTAAATTCGCGTGGATGTGCGTTTGCACTCCCCCCCCTTCCCACACACACACACACACTCATACAAACGCTGTAAAGTGAGTAAATTATAGTGAAAGTGATCAAGAAACAAACAGAGTATAGAAATCATGTAATTTATTGAATGGTTAATGTTTCAGTTGAAAGTTTGTTTGTTCTTTCAGTAGTTGTTTGCCTTTCGTTTTTTTTCTCTCTCTCTCACAAAAATTCTACTTTTATAATCAATTTCATGGTGAATTAGAGATCTGTATTTCCTTTTTTTTGTGTTAACCGGATGATGGTGTTTTTTTTTGTAATTGTAATGTTTGGACTTCTATTATGCTTACCGTACATAGTAACAATAATAAAGAAATTCTAACGTGTGGAAATGATTTTTGTATTTTTATTTTCCTGTCTTGCTCTACTCCTTGCAGTTTATGCTTTGTGTAAAACAAGTGGAGATTCTAATGACCTCGAAATTGAGTATAAGTAGATATTGAACATTGAACTGAATTTTGATCAAGGGTAAACACCTACCCACTTTCTCTATAATAAATATAATCTATTTGAACTACATATAGTTAAATACTGGTAAATAGTTATGGAATAATGATATCTACGGCGATTAAACCATATTGTCACTCTTAAGTTAATATGAAGATAGCTAATTCTAATTCTTTTTGGAAAGTTAGATCGGATTGCATTCTGATACTTTTGTAAACCAAACTATTAGTCTACAGGAAACGGGAAGTATGTCGAAAACTTTACAAAAACATAAAAGTGTTTATAGGGGCTACGGTTATGTGCAGGAATTTCATGAAAATCTAATCAGGATAATGTCAGTGTGAAGCACCGCTTTCTAGAATCTTTTTGTAAGTTTCCAAAGGACGTTGAATGGTTGAATTATTTCTAAACTTCTAAATGTTTTCAAGGAATTGTCAAGGTCTTCTAACACACCTCTGAATAGCTTTGCAGAGGATATATTTATTAAAGGCTTGAATTACTTACAACTGATAAGAAGTAAATTTTTGTTATCACATTATTCACAGTAGTTACATTTCATAATGAAACTAAACAAGATACTTTCGTTGGAATAACTTCCATCTAAAACAGTCCATTATTAATATTTTTCCTTTAAAACAAACTCAGCCAAATTATTCCATCACTGACTCATTAAATGATAAACATTCTTATGTTGTACAAACTGTCTTAAAGTGGGAATAATTTTGTGTAAACTATTTGTAATTTAATAAGGAGGATAACCAGTTCGCTCGATTTCAAACAACAGACCATAGTAATATAGTTTCAGGGAAAATCTAAGATAAACTAGTAATAATTATGTCATAACAAACAATAGAATATAGGAATTACTGATGGAGGAGAGCTGGTAATCTGACTCAAATGAAGATAATGACATTTTACAGTTAAGAGGGTTAACTATATCAGAGCTGAAAACAATAAGCATTTATCTTTAAGCAAAGTTGAATAACAGGTAGCCGTGAGATCTATGTAGCACATTTCGTCCTACTTAGGAGTCTTCAATGGGATTTAGCTAGATGTTCAATAACCCAGTGAGTAGTGCATTCAGTATCTGAAATGAATTCATTTATATCCACCTATTGGTGTGACCATTAGATTTGCGGTGAATGTGACCCAGCCGAATGGAACGAAACTTACACTTCTCAGAAGATTATCATGTTGATAGTTGTCAAATTTCTCACTACAGTAACCAGAGATCAAACACGTATCTGTGAATTACGTAAATATCACTAATCATGTGATTAGTATAACCCACAATTCTTGTTTTTATTTACCGGATCTGAAAAATGTTATTGAGATTAAACACAATTATTAAACTGAAAATAAGGTTTCCAGGTACATACGGGATTTTTGAATGAAGTCTATGTTATTTGAACTCTGTTACCAAGGTAAAGAACATAATTTTAGGTTTTCCTCAAAGGTAGTTTTAGTGTAAAACGTTTGCTACTCATCTATGTTCGTTAATAGAAGGTTAAACTTGATATACATCCATCTTACCGTATTCTTCGCTTTTATAGATTACGTTAAACTACTTATCAAAAGCTAATAGCTTGAATATATTTGAACATTTTAATGATGCATATACTATAACTCTAGATTGGTGTCAGATCCATTTATTTAAAGAGTTTTCTTACAATGTGCAGTAATAAAACGTTTATTTGTGTTAGCTCACCAATAAAGAAGTTATTTCATAGATGTTTAAGTTACGATACCTTTACAGAACAATGTTTTAATGATTAAGGTACTCATCTTTCTTCGACTAGTAGATCACAGTCTTGAATCCCGCTACATTTACTTCGGTTTAAGTAACTGAATATTTTCAATAATTTGCATAAAAACATATAGTTCATAGCCGAAGACATGATCATATACTTAGCAAATGAACTGAAGGTGAAGATTCATTTGCTGTACAGGTGAGCAGAAGTTCTTTCATATTTCTTTATGATTGGTTGAATCATGTTTTCTTCGATAGCAAAAGTATAACTAACAATTATAGCTTAGGTTATTCACAAAGTTTTCAATGTTCAAGAATTTTACCGTATCCAGCACATTCAGTTGTTTTCCCCTTCAATTGTTGACTGTGTTGTATATCAGAGAGTAATTTCCATCAAAATTTCATTTTAAATATCTGAATTTATCAACAAATGTCTTCTGTGAATAAGTCGGTGTACCATAACCCAATATGCTGAATGATATACATGAATATGGAGAAGTTTGTAGTTTAAATGAAATCACCAATCAAAATTACACTTTAACATTAAACACACTCATTAAGAGAACAGGAAAATGAACGAAATCACGAATAACCCCATTTACATAAGCCAAATAATTATCATTTAACATTTGAGATCATGAGTCAACTGAAGCTGGACCAATCTGGAAAACCTGGAAGCACTGGATGATCGTTTCATCCTACCGTGGGGCTCCTCAGCAATGCTCATCTACAATCCCGCTTCGCAAGATTCGGGCTCACGACCTACCAGTCTCGCGCGCGAGCGCTTAATCATTAGTCCACTGAATCGGCATCCAATGGTGTTAGTTCTGACTTCATCCAATCCACGAACTTACGCCACCGTTTTCTTCAGTTAGTTACTATCTTAGAACAGACGCGGTTGAACTCCACTGATAACTGCTTCTTACTAGAACTCCAGGATATACCTCTTGAAGCCAGTCACTAGTGAGCATATGTTCATTAATATCAGAAAGGGTTTTGTAGATATTATAGTAATTTCAATAGTTGGGATCATTATTATCTAACCATAAGTACAAATAACACATTGTTTAGCTAACAAGCCAATTCTTAGTACAATCACTATAAAATAAATAAACAACATAATTGAAAATATTTAAACAGAGTACTACTGAAGAGTTCCATACTAAGACGAAACGACCGTCCAGTGCTTCCAAGTTTATCATGGTGGTCTAACTTTAATTAACTCATATATTCAACTATTAAAAAAAAACTGGAAACGTTGAACACATTTATAAATGTGTAAAACATATACTCACTTAAATAATTCAGTAATATTAAATATATCAAAAAAAGTTCTAAATTGATTTTATGAATGAAAGCCAATAATCAATAATACAATGTTCCTTTAATCAATATTATTGATTGATCATCTGAACTAATTTTTTTTCGCGCTCTCTCTCTCTCTCTTAAAATTGATTTCTTTTTTCGCATAACAACTAAGATGACATGAATAAATTTACATACACTTAAAAGTACATTCAATGAATAGTTTTGATGCGCATTCTTTTTTGGATTAGTCAATATGATACCATGTGAGCCCCTTATTTTTCTTTTTTTAGATAATTACAGCTTTAATTACAAACTTTTTGTTTCCATTCAATATCTAGGTTACTTTCATCTAATCAATTTATGTAATAGTTAGTATGGTGAGTTGGCATAATCAACGCCTAAATACACACTAAAACTATACTCAAATGCCCTAATTAGGCTGAAAGTGGGATGTGAGATATGAAAAGTAGTCTTTTAGCACCTATACTTAAATTGTGGATATAATGAGTTCAAGTAAATGGATTGAAAAAATCCAATCCTGAAGAAATGAATTACATGAGACTATTGTAGTGGTTCCCAACAA